CGGAAAAGGATGTTACACTGGATTTACAAATTAAACCAGCTGATGTCTTAATAACTAAAAGGGACATATAATAAATCAGAAGAGTGACTTGGACAACTTTCTTATCTTGGATATACAAGAAAAACATGTTAAATTTATGAAGGAGTTTCTGAGAAAAGATAAAGAGAAAAATGAAAAGAAATCAACTTTTGGCATGTTATTTAAAGGGATTAAAGATCAATATTCTTAAAAGTAAATGGAAGGAATACAAAGTTGGTTTATTTGATCAAGGTTAAAATTGTTTCTGATAGCTCTTAATGGACTTTTCTTGACTAGGGCCAAATAACAAGGCTTTAAAGATTTGTTTATAGATAAGAGACAAGATATGGGAAGAATAGATCTTTCGCTGTATTTTTAGAGAAAGTGATAAGTTACTGTGTTAAAAGGAAAGGAAAGGAATATAAAACTGGTTTACTTGATTAAGGTTAAAATATATATGTTGTTAATTCTGGTAACTCTTTAGCTGATTAGGACAGAATGACGAGGCTTTAAAATTTGTTTATAGATAAGAGATGAGATATAGGAAGAAGAGATATTTTGTTGAAATATCAGAGAAGTTGATAAGTTACTGAAATTGTTTGTACTTGTTTTGATGAAGGGGAAGTCATTTCTTTATATAACTCTTCTTTTTTCTTATTATTTTTTTCTTTTTTTCTCTGCACTAGTATTAGTTTTTGCACTTATATTAGTTTTCTCAGCACTCATATTGGTTTTTTATTTTTTTCTTATTATTTTTTTCTTTTTTTCTCTGCACTAGTATTAGTTTTTGCACTTATATTAGTTTTCTCAGCACTCATATTGGTTTTTTATTTTTTTCTTATTATTTTTTTCTTTTTTTCTCTGCACTAGTATTAGTTTTTGCACTTATATTAGTTTTCTCAGCACTCATATTGGTTTTTTATCTTTGTATCTTTAAACTTCAATACAAATTATTATAAAAAAAAAGAAATGGGTTAAAATCTCACTGTACATCATTTCAAC